GTGCTCCTTTGCTACTTCTCGGTGGTTATCTCTTTAACATTTTTCTCAGCATTGTTACTTCAAACTGACAGTGCATTTTAAATTTTATCATCTAATAAACGCGTTACATGAACTTTTTGCAACTCATATTGCTTTTTAGACTTCTTCTGATGTCGCTTTGCTTTTGCGCAAGTATGTATATTTGATTCTGTCACCTATATTTTTCTTGTCCCCTTTTTCGTCTGAATCTTATTTTCATTTTAATTTGCTTCTCCTTTTTGGGTTCTTTTAGAGCCCTTTTGGTGTATTTGTGCTGCTTTTACTTGTAATACTGTGGATGTTATACGTGTTTATGTTTTTATATAATTTTTCCACTTTTATTGAATTTTTAAATGTCTTTTTTGTTTCCTCTTTTAATTATTAGAGCATTTTTTGCGCTCTTTCCTTTTCGTATTTTATTTTGTTGCTCTTTTATCCTTATTTTTGGCTTTTTCTACTTCTATCTTTATTAATTATGAATTTAGGTCCTATCACTGCTCTCATAGCTTTTAACCTGGCCGACTCAACAGAGTCTTGTGAAGAATGCGAGGTGCCCCTCTACGAGGGCTGACCGTTAATACTACCAGCCACTACATATTTGCATTGCCTTTTGTGTAGCGTCCCGAGACACCCTGAAGACGAAAGAAGACATAATACTCGGGCAGAATATATATATTCAGCACGGAGAAGGTGTCTGTGCTAGTGGCATGGCCCAAAAGGCCAGCCCACCCAGCGAGGTACAAAGGGGCTAATTTGAAGTCCAAAAGTGGCGCCTCACCAGAACCGAGGGATAAACCACTATCGTATTACATTTGAGTTAGCCGCTACTACTTATTCGGTGCTGTAAGAAGCACCCTTGAGCCGACCATACCAGTTATCAAATCCTAATGCAGTTGAGGAGAAACTTGACCGCAAAGTCACTTATTCTTCTTGAAGGTCCAATTTGATATGGAGTTTCGTCTGTATTTGAAACTTGATTTAGGAGCCGGGAATTGTGCCGGCCAACATGCGTGGGCATATGTAGACATAGGAGCCCTGCCCTAAAAGTAGGTTAATTTAGGAAGGATGGGGCTTACTACAGGTCCTTGCCACGTTGTTCTCACTTTGGGCCTGCCTAGTCACATCTATCCGGATTCCATTCAGCAGGTAGAGAAGTGGAGGAAGTATGGCGAGTTTACTTTATGCACAGTTTTATGCATGTACGGCTGGTAAAGCCTGTAACAAGACTCTCAAGTGTTTAACGACTAGTATCTCAGCAGTTGTTAATATCTTCCCTGCGGAACGCGAGACTGGAGTAATTACAGAAGGCAGACATCAATTTCAACCTATCTCTTTGGGGACATCACTGATTCTCACGGCCCGCTCAGGTTTATCACCTAGCAGCAGAAACTAGGATAGATATCCTTTAGGATCCGGTATGATTTCCTCTGCCACCAGTACAGGGCCCAACTACTTCCCTCAAGACGAAAGAAGTTATAATACTAGGGCCGGACACATACGTATATACATATCTGTATGTACAGTCGATATACAGAAGACAATTGTGCTACTGGTCAGCCCGTTCGGCGAGATGCCATGGCCAAGATAAAGTAGTCCTTTACCAAAACGATCCTTAAACAAACACCTAACGTGTTACGTAACATCTGTGCAGAATATACACTTGCATGTGTACATATGTACTAGACATTTGGGCCTCAGGTTACTAACGTGGCCCGAAGGTGACCCTAATTAGGCAAAAATACAATGCTAAAAGTTGAACAAATAACTAAATTATCACACTTTTACGGGACATTTTAAAGTATGTGGAATGTAAAGAGTTTGCTAATTGTGAAAAGCAAATAAAATCTTTTTTTGTAGGGTCTACTGTCCTAATGATATTCTCATTTAATTTAATTATTTTTTGCCCTAGGCAGTTTTTTAAATTTACTACGCCGTTGCTGCTCCGCTTCAGCGCTTGATTTACTCGGGTTAGCGATCGGGTTGTACTTGTGCGGATACATTCTGGGCTGGCCGACCTGGACCCACGCATCAAGAGCATATCTCACTTTCAGTCAAAGCTTTTTAGAGGAACTTAACAAGTTAGTTGTGGTTCTGAGATTCGACTTGCCGAAATTCTGGTTTTTAATATTTCTTGGCACAGAATCATTTGTTTGGATTAAAAGTGCTTTCAGTGAGACTTTTTGGAATTTATAGTGAAGATTGTTGAAGTTGCCTAAAACTAATTTTGCAGTTGTTACGGGGAGTTTGTTTAGTTCACAGCATTTAGGTTAGATTATCTGTCGTGTTTTGGCAGTTTTAAACGCCTTTTAATAATGAAAAGCAACGTTACTAGAGAGTTCTTTTCTGAGGACTATTTTTACCTTTTCAAAATGTCTGTAGTGCAATTGATGATGTGAAAATTCAGTCTTCTATTTTTTGCAAACATTTGAAATATTTTTCTATTTTTTCCACAAACGATTCATTGAATTTGCGTATTTAAAGGTGTGTTATGTAATTAAATGTCTTTTGTGATTGCCTTTATTTTGTATTTTTAATGCAAATCTACTGAACTTAGCGCGCTTAGGATTTTCTCATGTCTCAGTTGTGTGAATGAAAGCACTTTTGTACGTAGTTATGAAGCTGTGGATGTTAGTAAGTTTTTTAATCATTGGCAAATGAATGGGACGACAAGTTTTTAAAGTAGAATTCAAACTCCTTTTAAGCTCTTATGATGCTGTGCAGCATTGCGTAGTAAGGTTTCTACTAATTTTCTTGTACATAACCGTAGGCGGGATCGGAGAATGTTTTTTGCGCAACATTCTGTTTGGCTTTTCATAATTTCCTATCAAAAGCGCACTTTTTATTGTCAAACGATGAGTTAGTTTCCCGGGACCTTATTATTCAAACTTAATCCAGTTCAGATGATTTAACTAAGTCTAGCAGACTGCTTACTTTTCCTAAGTCGAATTAAGCCAGATATTTGTACGCGCTTCGCCTTTCTTTGTCTCTCATTTGGATATACTTTAAGTTTACGCAAAGAAGGGAAAAAGTGACTTTTTGCTTCCCATTTGCATATTATTCCTTATTTTATCAAACAGCACAAATTCCTTTGGATTTCCTCTGTCACTGCCGTTGTTCTCATTTACTCTATCAGAAAATCGGCTCGTTTTTAGAAGACTATAGCCTAATGCAAAATAAGTTTTTTTAGCTAATGTGAGGTGATTTAGATTTGTATCGTTGCTATGTAGGATTCTCGTTAATACTTAATTTTGTGGGTATTTTCTTTTCCCCAATCCACCCAAGTTGATCTTACTTAAAATCCCTTGTCCTCTCAGTAAACTTTCAAATGCAGGTAGTGTTCGTCTTACCTCTGTCCAGCTGTGTCTGCCCGTCTAGCTATCAGTGCACATGTGAGTGATAAAGAGGACAGGTACAGATAAAGCTAGATGGAATGAGAGGAGAGTGGTATGATTGCTAACATCCCTAGTGTGTGTGACCATGACAATACGTAATCGAGCGCCCGAGGACTGGCAGAAAAGACACACAGATACGCTTGTATGCACCCACGCACACGTCATCGGGTCTTTAATTCGAAAGTGGAGTTATATTAACAGTAACAATATGGTAAGCACTCATTTTCTCACACTACCTTTCTTCCTCTTTGCCTTCCGCCCTCTCTCCTCTCCCTTTCTGGAGACGCGTTGGGTACAGCGTCTCTTCCTATTTTTGCTCTAAAATAACATGAGCCTTCTTCAAGCATAGACAGAATTTAAATTTTCAAACCTTTGCACTCACACAAAAGGCGGACGAAATGGTGAGTAAGACCCAGCATATAATTGAGATAGTAATGTTAATCAGGAGGGGCAATAGTATGTAGTAGTTGCGAAATAAATTGTAGCTTTTTAGTAGACTAAATAATTAGGTATTCTCTCTGTATATGAAAAAACTTTCTTCTTTTCTCTTTTTAAACGCTCTTTTAAAATGTTTCCCGGAAATTTCATTTGTAATGTGTCGGTTGTCAAAAATTCTACGGAAGTACGTTTTTAGGTAGAAAATAGCAGTAATGAAGAAAAAGACTATTTTTTGGCTACATTGTTTAAATGGGAAAGTTTCGGGCAAAGGTGTTTCTAAAGCAAAATTTGTAGCACTAACCACCCCTTTTACAGTTTTATGATTAGTTTGTGCTTTTGTAATCATAGTTACATCGCTATCGTCTTTAGTAGTGTTTTCTCGACTTGACAAATGCTCTTAAAAGCACGCATAATTCGAACTATTTTGCGCAAAACAGTATTCACTTGTCTGTTATAATTCGGTTTCGACTGTAGCAAAGTTAAAATTACGTTGGTATCAAGATTTTACAGTAAGTCTTGGTCCCCAAACCTTTTAGAGCAATTGACTTTGCATTTCAATGAGTAACTACAACGATTTAAAGCGTTCAGGCACATTTTTTCTCGAAAATATAAGTGTATCTTATGGAACCAATGCAGTTAGTGCATTGGTGATGACTCAAATGTTCAGAGCATTGACAAGAGTTCTCTCAAAAATTGCTTTAAGAAGCCAACACAAATGGACATCCCTTCTATGTACTCAAATAACACCCATTTATGTTGCATATCTTTTGCTGCTGCGATTTTTCATGATTACCTCCGAAGGTTTCGTCTCTGGTTCTCATGTTCCATTCTCAAGAATAGCAGTAAAAAGCCTTATGGTAGCTTAGTTTTGTTAAATACCTTTTGACTGATGCTAAGAGGAAGTGTTTTAAAATTGTTTCGAAATATTTTAACTTCCTTGTAGTATTGCTTACATCCACAAAAGAAGTATATATTCGTGCATCTAAGTCCACTAACTTGCTAGGTAAATGGGAAACAGCTGTCTGCAAAGAGCTTTATGGGCGCTGATCAACCGGGAATGCCTTTTTTTCAGTAGCTTTTATCGCACGTGTGATGTTCTAAAGTAGAATTAATTAACTCATTTGGTAAAGGGTAACAGGTTTTAAAAGATAATTATAATGTTGGCGCTTTAAAACAAGATATCCGTATGCTAGCTGCTTGCCGTAGAAACACTTGCCCAAATGCAAAATTTACTTAGCACGTTCGCTACTAGGCTCTCGGAGAAAATAAGTGACCATCTGAACTTATGAAATCAGCAATTTCATTGCCGAAATGATCAATTCCAACACTTCTTAAAAGCTGAAAATGCAATTATCCTTAGCCTAAGAACACCTGACACACGTGTTTTATCGTTTTGAGTTCAGTCAATGTACCATCGTAAGATGGTAAAGCGCACAAAGCACACATTTGCAACGCGGAGCTAAAATAGTAACATCGGGCGTCACAAACATGACGATGGTAGCCGAATTGCTAGCCCTACACACAAGTTAGGGTAGGTCCTCAAAGTCATGCCTTGTATTTGTTTCGTTTTTCTATTATCCTCATTTTTTTACTACCTAAAAAGCCATTTTAAACCTTGGTTTCTTGAAATAAAGATATCTCTTACCTCTTATGATTACGGTCATAATTCATAGTTTCATGCATCCTCTCTCCGTTTGAATCCGGTCAACAAGCAGATCTTGAGACCGAAGTCTGTGCCGAAAGTTGACGAGACTACGACTTTCCGGGGTAATTTGAATTGTTTTTGCTATTTCTGAAGCAGGCTTACAGGTGAAGTACCCCTCTAAAGACTTATTTAGCATATTTGTCATTATCTCTGCTATGGTTTTAACTAATAAAAACGGAATCTGAATGTAAGGAATGAGCTACACAGTTGCTTTTTTATCTATTTTGGTAACATCGTACGGAGAAGGAGGTTCTTCTATGGCTGTTAGAAATAAAGAAAAGGCCCCTCCACCGCTTGTTATCTCTGCCTCGGCCATTAATGCGTTTCCACCACGAATTTGTTAAGTGGCTGGTGCTTGTCAGGCCTGACACTGTCAATGAGTCGTCACGATAACGCTGCAATTGGCAAGTAGCTGAATGTTTATGTAAAACTCGCTCTATTTCACGATTTCGTATGTTATTTATTTCTTATATGTGTCTAGTTCTGATGCGTATTTGGGTCGTTATAAGTATGACAATTGGCCCTATATGAAGGTACTTTTTTGTGACACTAAAAAGGATATTTCATTTCCTTCTTTTTTAGCCTGAGTCGTATGCCTGTGTATTTAGATGAAAACTAATGGTTTTAGTACGCTTCCGGTCATTGTTAGTGGAAAGCTCTCCCATCGAAAACTGTTTCTGATCGTACCTAACATGCTGGTGCTAAAATGCTTCCCTTTTTCTTTCAATTGTTTAAAGGTCCAAGGTGTAATACTTTCACGGGTTTTGTTTTTCATTCTTACATTCCTTTTGTTAGTTTTCATTCATCAATCTATAAGTCGCTTTTTACCAATTTGCCACTTCGCTCATTAAGTCTTCTATTTAGTCAATCCATTCATACGACACGCCATCTATTTATTTGGCTATCGACTGTCCTGAAATAATTCATTAATCTAGTAGCCTCAATTTATCCACCCCTTAGTCATTAGCCCGGCTCAAATCCCCTCGATTATTTACTCATCCAATCGCCCCCTCCCAATTCACCTTATTCACTCGCTTATTAATTCATCCTTTCAATGGCTCATTCTTCTCTAGTTCGTTAGCTTCTGCATCTACGAGTCCAAATCTGACTTACCCACTCTTAAAATTATTCACTAATGTATTTAGTCACCAACTTATTTTTTTTCGATTCATACTCGCATCTTTCGTTAATTAGTTATTCACTGAACCGTTAATTCCTAATCTATTCGCTTATCTACTCCTAACTCATTCGTCACTTTACTTTTCTAAAATCCTTTTCAAATCCATTGATCTCCTCATTTATTCGTTCATCGTTTTTCGACCTGTTCCCCTCAATCATGAGTCTAAACCTCCATCCAATCATCCTCCTGTGTACCCATTCATTACCCAATACCCACTAATTAACATCTGTGCCTTCTTTTCACCTACCCATTTACTAAAACGTCGTCGATTGATCCTTTTCGGGTCATCCTTTCATTCAATCGTTCACGCACTTAGTCACCTTCCACCGTACAGACCTATTCAAATGGATGACAAAGCTATGTTTATCTAATGATGTGCTTTTTTTACCCATCTTTCGTCTGAATAGGTCCATTTAATTCGGTTCACCATTTCTCATTTTATCCCCGTTAAAAGGTGGTCAACAATCTTCCATTCATTATTTTTTTTAAATTTAAACAATTAGAGGTATTTGGAGCAGAAGTCTTTCCCATTCAGTTATTCTCTCACATCTACGCCAACGAGAAAAAGCAATGTTGGTTCATACCTGACAGCTTGCCACGTGTGTGGGAAATGCTATTGACGCCTAGTGACTTAGTGACTTAAGTGAATCGCGTAGAGACCAAAGACACTCAATTTTATATCTATTGAAGACCATAACAGCTACTGTAGGTAACATTGAAAGTGGTGTGATTTGTACTTTGATTGACATTGTTTAACAACTACTTTCACCGCCCCAAATTTAGTTGCACCACATACGAGATTTTGTAGCCTCTAAGATGCAGAAGGGTCAGCAGCCTATTAGTCTGAGTTGCACTGGTAGAGATACATATAAATGCGCGGCAGGCCAAAAGGACCTATTTTTACCAGCAAAAAATGCATGCTACACCGCTTAGCATCCTCCATCTTGTTCTGCGCACCGATCCCGGCGCCTTGAAAATATTTATCATAACAGCGGTTTCTTGCACGTCAATTTGTCCAAAAGTCAATACATTTGGTGTAATTAACTATATAAGTAGCATCCTGTTTTTATTTCTCCTTTTTTGACTTGCCTTATTGCTGTCCAGTCAACTATTTCAGTTATTCTCAACTTCTTGCTTTACGGCACGAGATCCATTTTTCGGGTTTATCCTATAAACCACTGCTTTCGTGCAAATTTTTTGATCATATCTTACGTGAGAAATTTACGTTCAGTGCTTCTTCTGATGCAAGTTTCCGCGTATTGAACCATCTACAGTAGCTGCCTTTTATTTGTAACATTTAGGCGTTCTCTCCATTTAGCAAAACAGAGGTCTGGATTGCCTCTTGGGAACGATTTTGATGATCAATAGGGGTGTCAAAAATTAGATTTATATTGTGAAAACTATTGCAAATGCCAATATGATCTCACAATCACAAATTTAGAGGTGCGCTTACAACACTAATCAAAGGCATTCTACATCCGTTCTTAGGAGGCGACAGGACCCACAAAATTTTTACCTTATAGTTACTCATTTCGTGTCTAGTAAAATGTGCATCTTTGATTAAATTAAAGCAGTAGTCAAAATACCCATGACTTCAGAGGGCCCAATGAGGATGGACTGTCTGCATCTCCATCAGTTGCGCATTTTGGCTGACCAAAAGAAACAGTTCCACCTCCCATTCAGAATTAAATTCATCCGCATTGATCATGAAATACCTATTTATCCCATTTTCCTACTCGACTACTTTCCTCGATCATCTCGCTTTGCTTGCTACCTTGAATGGAACAGAATTGGTAACATTTGTAGTGGAAACTCTATTAGTGGTGACTCAGTTTGGTAGAATGTCTACCTGCCATTGTGTCTTATAATAACCCAAAAGAGACGTCTTCATTTTGCGTGTCGACTCCGTCTTAGTTGATCGGAGGCCATCTTTCGAACCTGTAAACGTAGCAAGGCTTAGTCTCGAAATTTCACGGGACGAATCTGCCAACTCCCGGGGATCTAAGACTAGCATAACTGGGCTAGTCAACAGGGAAATTTTTGTTTTTCGTGTGTTCAGTCAAAACCTTCTCAGAAATCCAGTATTCTCTGATTTACTAGAGAAAAATAATTCTGGGCCACCTATTTTCTCACTTTCAGAACCACGTCTCTGCCAGATTTCATGGTAAGTTAAAACTTTTTGTATCATAAAGGGCATGAAACCATTTACCATAATTTTTCAACATGATTATACACCCGAGTTCTCTTGCTCTAATAAAACAAAATTGTCTGTAGCTCTTCGAGTACTCTCTGAGGCTGTAATAAATCAAAGCAATGCAGAAGAAGGGTATATTAACAGAACAAGGATATGAGACTCTTGGTGGTGATATTACTTAGAAGAAAATGTAACTTGTGGGGCTAGTACAGCCACTAGCCCTACTTTATCAGTGTTGTTCGAGGTTCTACAATGTAATGTACTCTACAGAGTGAAATGTATCGGGGTGGATTGATCTGGGAGGTTGCACTAAAAGGTTGGACAAGGTTCTACCGAGGTGAAGTTTCCTATGCCAATCGCTTTATGCAGTTTATGAAAGAATGATTTGTCTGCTTTTGCTGTGATCTAGATCACTTCCTTAAAGAACTTATAATTAGCTATTTTTTTTTTCAAGTTGAGACCTGGCCTCGCTTGGTCACCGCCATTTGTGCAGAAACCGAATTTGCGGACTTTCAAAAGTCGACGTTGTCTCGATAGCCTTCCCATAGCAATTTTTATCGGTTCAACGCCCCACAGTCGTTAGTTTTCCTTTGTTAGGTGCGGGGTTGTTATCCATTTACTGAAATCAGAAATACTAATCTTTTCGCGTTTGCTCTTGGCTGCCACCAAATTAACACATTGAGCCACACTAAAAGGCAATAAGATATGCCAATACAAAAGCTAGGTTCGTTATTAGCATGCAGAAAAGTTAATAACTGGTTTATTTAGATTCACTGTCAATATGCTTAAATAAATTCGAAAAGAGCAGTTCTCAGACTTTCAAGTTTATGAACAAAGTCGCTTATGGACTATAGGATGTAGCACCGCAAGCTTGCGATCGGCTTGTGAAAGGAGAATTGCTTCCTTTTTTGTAAACTAAAACACACGACTAAGTACCATCTTAGGGATACTGCTAATTTTCTGGTAGTTAGAGTCAAAAAGCGGAACCTCCATACATTACATGGAGGAGCAAAAAAGATTTTACTTCTTAAGTTTTACTCTGTATTTTATTGAAGAGAAATCATATAAGGAATGAGACCGATTTTGTAATTTACCCGTTACAACATCGTCTAGTGCACACTTTGTCTTCCATCTGTATGGAATTGGTAAATAAAAGCGAAGCAAGTGTTCCCGTCTCATCAGCACCGGCAGAAAATTTGACTTTCTCCCAACTCGGATTTAGCTGCTCAGAAAATAAAAATATTGGAGGAATGTTTAGCAGTCACTGGATCCGTTAGTATTTAGGTTAGCTCTTTAAATGGTAGACGAGGCTTCTGAAGAATTCAAGAGCAAACGATTGAAATGTTTAAAATGGTTTATACATGGGTGATTCGATGTCATAGTAATTGCTGTCTAAATGGGAACCCTCGAAGCTATGGTGATCGTATGTAGATAACTGGATGTATTTGACACTTTATTTCCTTTAATGTATTGCCGCATTATACGTTATTACCCTGTTTTCATCTCAGATCCGTCCTCCAAGACACATAGAACCTCTTAATCAAACCATCGACTAGAGAACTGTCATTCATTAATTTTACTAGCTAGCCACGTTCTTGTCTCGCCAAACTCTCGTTATTTCTTCCATTGCGTTATACGATAGAGCTCCCAGCGTTCGAAATACGTTTGATTTCCCTCTATCTAAACTATTACAACTACCGCCCTTGAGGCGAAGTCAAACACACTCGTCAGGGCCTCAGTACACTGTTGTATTTGATTAAACAAATAGCCATCTCAATTTATGAGTATTTCTTGGAGGTATCTTGTGTTTGCGTAAGGTAAGAACTGTTTGTTTATGGCATCATCTCATCTCACTACCACTCCTTTCATTAATTACCCAATTAATTAACTCGCTTATTTGCTCATTCATTCATTTCACCTTTAAGCCAGCTTCATTCGAGACCCATTCAGCCATGACTCAGGTAACTTGTTGTCGTTTGCTTTTGTACGGGTTTGATCAAAACGTGTCGAGAATATTTCTTAGTTGAATAGGTTGTAATTGTCACAATACTTCTCGATTTAGGAGGACAATCACCTCAAAACCTAGCTATAGAAAGCAGAAATTACCTTTGATGACTAAACCAGTTATTTATTAGCGGAATTTGAAGTTAATAACTTAAAATAAAATTACTAAGGACTATCTTAGTTTGTGCGAAAAAAATTGTCTCATTTTCGCGATTTCGGCCTCTTTTGCACTTATATTACTGGCTGTCATAAATTTCCGCCAATTGACCGAATTGTCGGCGGAGTAAAAAGTGATTCAAACCCCTTCGTGTCATTGATGTAAATGCAGGATTAGAGATGAAGTTTCTTCTATATAACTTTATTTTAGGGTAGGACTATGGACCCCACTAGGCTTTGTTATTACGATAGTTAACGAATCCAACACCTTTAAGCTCATCTGCCTTATCCACAGATGCCTTTGCTTCACCACGCGACTAGCTAGTTTGTGATCTATACTAAAATCGCGTATCAGGGCAGAATTTCTCGGCCGTTCCAATACAATGCGTGCTTATTTCACCTACTAATCACTACTTTGCCCCGCAAAACACTTTGTTTGCTTGTTGACGTTTCAAGATGTTTACATCACTCTGTCAGCTATCTGTGGTTTTACAAAATCACTCTTTACAAGAACTCAAAAGTTATCCAAGGAAAGTGTTTTATGCATGAACCATTTCCGATATTATTTGACAGATGTCTTGCCCATTATTGAATAAACTGGAAGGCATATATTCAGCCTATGTACATTAGAATGTGACAGTTCTAATAGTGCGTGAACATTTTACCAATGTTGTCACAAAAAAGTCCCAAAACTTTTTCACAGATGACAAAAGTCATTATCTTTATTTCTCAAGCGGCCAACAGGAGCAGCGAAGGAGAATACCAAGAAGGCAAGGGTAAATGCTACTGATGTTTTCGCTTTTGTTGTCGTTGTTGTGTGCGCATCTGCCCGGGCACTTTCACTAACAAAATTGACCGAAACTACCACAGCAGTAATGATTGTGGTGCGTACGGTCACCATTTCCATTTCCGATTCTTGGTACAAGTCCTGATTACAATACCACATTTCTCATCTCTTATCAGTTTAAGTAAACCGTCTTCAATTCTTTCTGTGAGAATGAGCTAGAAAGCTGGTTCTTACACACCAAAACCTACTCTCTTATTGCGTATTTGAGACTGAAAGAAAGTTGGTTTGCCTTTCATTCTTTTCGGAAATAACATTGCAAGAATTACTTAATTTCGCATGCATTAAATGCTGCTGCTTTCGCATGCACTGACTCAGCAACCCACTGATCGGTTTGCCCCATCCAGTGGGTGGATGGAGGACAAATTCTATTGAATTTTACGTTTTCCCCATTTATTTTAAATTTTATTTTAAGAAATCACCCATGCCTGCATCAAGGGGAAGGGAGAATGGAGAATGCGGTGTTTCTAAAGGTACGTTAATTCTCTTTAACTCTTGACTAGATTTCCTAACCTTAATCCATATGATCATGAGCTGGCTTTTTAAAGCTTGTTTCTTTATGCGTTTTTGTGTTGGTGAAGCATTAAACTCATTTGGAGACCTAATTTACCATTAACCAATCCTTGAAAATGCGCGTTCTTACTGTTAACTTAATACGGGAGATTTGTTGTAAACAAAATAATAAATAAATAATAAAATGAGTAGGAATTTGGCTCTTTTCATCTTTTTAAAGGATGCATTAAAATGTTCCTCTGAAACGTCTTTTCCGCAATCAATGTAACGTTCTTTGAAATCGAATGGCGACCTGACTTTCAAGTGTGACGCGCTTGCATTTGAGGTTTGTGTTTCTGGTTTCCACTGATTACCCCATAACCTGTAGCACAAATAATACGATAGTATTTTGTGATCAGTTATAAATGACATCATATTTCTAATAAGTGCTATCATCAGCTGTCGACTTTCGTAGTGGGGCTTTATTTTGAGCGAGCAACAACAAGCAATTACTGAATAGTAATTCAGGGAACTTTTCAGTTGGCATAGGTATGCGTTCAGCATATCTTAAGAGGCGACCATTTTCAAAACGGGATTTACAGTGAAACAGTTCAACAACTGTTTCCATTTTAGTGTTTCAAGTGGTTATAAACTAAAATATCTCGTGGCCATACCTATTTTAAACGCAACAAAATACTCCTATTCCATACTTTTGACCATTACCTCATTACAAATCAACCTTAGAGCTCACTGTGAGTCTAGCATGAACGTTGTGGGCATTAGCCGAAATAAGCGTGACCTGAAGCGACTCAATTTTATTTAAGAGAAATTAAAGGGCGGTTCGAATACCAGAACTTTTAGCAATATAGCTAAAAAAGGTACAGTGACATAAAAGGGCACTTTATTTCACACCTATAAGTGGGGAAAATAAGCAACGTCTCAATGACTACCAGATTGTAAGGATAGGAGAGCACTAGGTTATAAAAGGGAACATTAAATCGATGAAGTGAACGAAAATGTAAGGGCATGCAAGATAATGTCACAATTAATGATATTGAATGAATTATATTTGTAAATAACAATGCAGCGTCTTCAGACAACCGCTTTATGGGGAACTGTTGGTACTACAAGTTCTTCAAGAACACTTTCATCTGACTAGACATCTAGTTCCGTCCTGTGTACCAACGGGAGAGCTGAAGAGAGGGGGTCGGTAGATTTAGTGTTCCCTGTGTTACTCTTCCTTGTTTCCCTGTCTGCTAGCAAAGTGTTTTTATTGCCTGCTTATCCGCCTCGGTGCTAGTGTACGTTAGTACGCTGCAAGCATAGCGAATAAAATCACGTCCTTTCCAGCCTTCCTCCTGTTCTCTGGACCTCCGCTTCACGACCT